GGGGGGCCCGCTGGCCGCCCGCCTGGACGGCGGCAGCCCGGCGCGAGGCAGCGCCTTCAGCACGGTGCCGCAGCTCGGGGCCGGCCCCGGCGGGCCCGGCGGCGGCGCGGCCGAGGAGCGGAAAAGCGCCTTCTCGCAGCCCGCCCGCTCCTTCCCGCACGTCCCGCCGCTGGTGCTGGGCCCGAAGCTGGGCGGGCTGGGCGAGCCCTGCCCCGACGGCGCCGCCGCCCCCGCCCGCCTGTACACCGCCGAGGCGCTGGCCGCCAAGCTGCCGGGCGGCGGGGAGGCGGCGGGCGGCGGCGGGGGCGGCGGCGGGGGGCTGCCCAAGCAGAGCCCCTTCCTCTACACCACGGCCTTCTGGCCCAAGAGCTCGGCGGCGGCGGCGGTGGCGGCGGCGGCGGCGGGGCCGCTGCAGCTGCAGCTGCCGTCGGCGCTGACGCTGCTGCCGCCGTCGTTCACCTCGCTGTGCCTGCCGGCCCAGAACTGGTGCGCCAAGTGTAACGCGTCCTTCCGCATGACCTCGGACCTGGTCTACCACATGCGCTCACACCACAAGAAGGAATACGCGCTGGAGCCCCTCGTCAAGCGCCGCCGCGAGGAGAAGCTCAAGTGCCCCATCTGCAATGAGTCCTTCCGCGAGCGCCACCACCTCTCCCGCCACATGACCTCCCACAACTAGCGGGGACCCCCCCCCGGCTCTGGGGACTCGCCCGGGACCCCCGCCCGGGGACCCCCGCGCCGCCCACCGCTCCCGCCCTTCCCCTTCGATGCACGCGTTTCCACTGTCTGGGGAGGGGCGGGGAGGGCAGAGGTAGAGGAGGAGGAAAAAAAGGAAGAAGAAACAGAAGAAGAAGAAGAAGAAAAAAAAAAGAAGGTAAAAAAAAAAAAGAAAAAGAAAAAAGAGAAGCACCGTGAAAAAGAGAAAAAAAAAATCAAATGACTTAAAAAATACATTTTTTAAAATGTCATATATTGCAACATATTGATGCATTTGTCATACGTTTCTACTTAAATTATTAAGCACTTATGGTTTAGATGTAATAATAATTCTATGTCAGGGTAAATTTTTATTTTGGATATGAAGCTAAGGGCGGGGGGGGCGCGGCGGGGCCGGCGGGTGGCGGGCCGGGGTCCTGCATGCACCGGGCGCTCCCCCTGCCCGGCCCCGCCGCCCGCGCCCCTTCCCCCCGAGTGTCACTGGTGCCCGTGGAATGGAGTCTCGGTAGTTCCGTGTTATCTTCCCTTTCCCGTTTGGGTTTGTTTTTTTTTCCTCGACCTTCTGGAAAAGATTTATTAAACTTTATAGTTTATCCGGGTATGTTGGATGCTTTGACAATAAATGACTTTATTTTCTTCAAAGCCCCTGGACGTTAATTGGTTCCGGGGGGAGGGAAGGGGCAGTGGGGAGGGGTACGGCCCTGCGGCTGCGGGATGGGGACTTGGCCCCCGACTGGGGTGCGCTGTGGGGAAGGGCAGAGACCCCAGACCACGCTGCCTCTCCTCTCTGCTCTTCTTCCCCACTCGCCTGCCTTGCTTTGGCCCCTCCAACATCCATCCATCCTTCCTCTGCGCATCTTTGGTTTTGCCTGGCATTGTATCCACCCTTTATTTCTCTCTTTCACCCTGTCCTTCCCTTCCTTTCCTCTTCCCTTCGTGGTTTCGGTTTTCTATAATTTCTTTCTTTTTGCCTGTCTTTCTTTTTCTTTCTGATTTTCTCTCTTCCTTTTTCTTTCAGACTTTCTGTGTTTTCTGTCCCATTCTCTCTTCCTCTCTTTCCCATTTTCCTTTTTTTCCTTTTCCTTTTCCTTCCCATCCCCTCTCAGCCCCCCACTTTGCTCCACACCACCCACTTCACCCCTGCCAGGAGCCTTTATTGCTTTTCAACCTTGCCAGGGCTGTAGGTGGCCCCTGGCTTGCAGGGTGAGCAGAGCCCTGGGGATTGGGGTGACAGGGCCTAGAGGAGCCCCCAGTCTGGGGTGTCCTGGGACAGGGAGTGCTTCAAGGGGCCAAGGGTGGGTGCCCTCTGCCCTGGTGCATTATTGGGGTGACGGCACCACAACCAGGGACACATGGGAGAGCTCAGGAAAGGGGAACCCCTCTGGGCACAGCAGGACAGTCTGGTCCTATGGGCACCACCTGCAGTGGGTGCATCTGGTGTCAGCCCCGAACGTTTTGGGGTGCACAGGAGGGCCCTGAGGGACGCAGCACCCTGGGGAAACCCATTTCCACACACAAGCTGGCATCACCCTGGAGAGAGCCAGGGCTCACCGTGATGAGGCTGCACATGGCTCCATGGGTCACTGGCAGGGAAAATATCCCAAATCCAGAGCTGTGCAAGGCTGGAGCCCCTGGCAGAGCATGGGAGCTGCCCACTATCTTGCAAGTGGGTCGAGATTACCACTGGCACCTGCTGCCGTGGGGTTTGGGGTTTGCGTGGAGTACCTAGACCTGCTGCAAAACCTTTACAGCTCCCAGGAAAGTGCCTGGAGCCTCAGGTAGGACGTGCTTACAACTCCACACGCTTGGAGAGTGTCTCTCTTGAGGAGCACTGACAGCCAGCACTGGCTATCCTCACAGATGTGGGACGTGGCACGTCTGAGGAGCTTTAGGGGGGTCCCTGCCACGGACAGTCCACCTTCCCGCTGATGCCATTCACTCCGGCACCGTCCCAATAACCCCCAAACCATGCCAGGTGCCGAAGCGACCTCCCTGTGTCAGGAATACGCATGGCTCAACCTGCTGCCGTTAATTGCGGGGGCGACACGCTAATTACTCCCGGGAGCTTTCCTTAAAAGCGGTTTCGCCGCTGCGGCTCCTCTTTCTAGGGAAAGCTTTTGGGCTGCTGGGCCGTGGTCCCGGGGGATGCGGGGATGCCGCGGGGATGCCGGGGGCGGCAGAGGCGGGCAGGCACCGCCATCTAGTGGAGCCGCCGCGGGGCCAACGGGGACGCTCGGGATGCGCGGGGCCCCGGCGGGCTCCTTCCCGAGGATGATGCTCCGAGCTGCTCTCCCGCAGCAGCTCCGCCTCTCCAGTAGCCCCGAGACGGCTTTGGGGCTGGGTCCTTCCTGCGCCCGGGTAGGTTCATAGGGCAGGTGTAAATTATGCTCTCCCCTGCTCCCTGCGCTCGTCCTGGGTCCCGGCGCTGCTGGAGAGCTGGTGCCTTCCCTCCGTGAGGGAGTATTCGGGAGCCTGGTGCACACCTGCAGGTCTCAGCACCTCAGCACATACAGCATCTCTTCTATCTAATCCAAAGACTTTATGGACCAGTGATCTGGGGATCTGTCCTGCAGTATCCTGCAGCACCCTGCTTTATCCTTGTTCCCTGTGACCCTCTCTGCAGGCGCGGTGCTAAGCCCCAGGACTTTCCCCATGAGGTCTGTCTTTGCTAAGGGGTCCCTGCCTGTCAGCTCCCTAAAAAACGCTGTTAGACAGGACACGTGTGGTGCAGGAGGTCTCTGCGCTGTTACGGACACCCAAAGCTCACACTGTTCCTCTCCGTAAGTACAAAAAATCTACATGACTAATGGGCAAGAAATTTGATCAAAGACGTTAGGCTTCGTTTTGGTGAAATCTGATATCAGACTCGGAAGTGAAGCACAAGCAGGATGTGGCATAAGGGCAGGCAGCACCTGTGTCCTGTGCAGTTGGGTGTTGCATGAAGGGGGGTTACAAGAGTTCCCCTTGGGCCATTGCAGGCTCAGGGCTTGGTCACAGCAAGACCGTCACTTTGCAGAGCTATGCTGCCTCTCCTTAGGTCAGCATGAGTGCCATTGCCAGACGCTGCTCCTCTGTCCATCGACAATGCTGCTGCATGGGAAACAGGGAAGGGAATCTCCCTTTTTTTTTTAACTGACTCTCTCTGTCGGTGGTCGATGCTGTGTCGTGTCACTGCTCAGCGCAGAGGCTGGCTGGGCTGTGGCATCAGCCCCTTGTGCAGGATCCTCTCCCAGCATCACAGCCCAGAAAATGCAGTGCCAGGGCATGGCTCAGGCATTTCTCTGGATAGACCTGCCCCTGCGAGCCTGTGCCAGAGCCCACAGCTGCGTCTACCTCCAAAACCCACCCACAAGGGGCATCCTCAGTGTGCTGTGGAGGAGCCTTGGTAGTGAGGAAGGGCAGCCTTCAACTTTAAGGAGCCTCTTGCCTGCATCCTGCAGTGCTCAAGGTAAGGCTGCTCCATCTGCAGCCAGGCCACAATAATAAATAACAAATAATAATAACAGATAATAATAACAATATCTATATAAATGTGTATATAATATATATAATGTCTAATGTATTCATAATGTATGTTATTATATAATAATAATATACCTATAAATGTGTAGATAATGTTGTTATTATTATTATTATTCCTCCAATAAATGTTGCTGTTGTTCCAAGAAGGCTGAGCTCCTCTTTGCAAGGTATGTATCTCTAGTTAATCTCTAATCTGTTAAAACTGGAAAATCTGCTATCAAGATTTAATTTCAATACCCGGCATTTGAAAATGAGTTATTCAACTGCGGATGTCTAAGGCAAGGCTAAAATAGTTCCCTTGTTTTGAAAATAATATGAGCAGTACAATATTTCTTCTCTACTTTCCCTGCTGTTAAGGTCTCGTCTGGAGGGGGGAGAAGGGAGTGGAAAGACCTTATCCAGTACAGACGGTGTTGGTGATGGGTTTTAAACAAATACACACAAAAAGCAAAATGCATAAGGGAAGTTTCTATGAGATACAGTGCTGTCCTGCAGAAGGTAGGGTAATGCCCAGCTTGCACTGGGCTTTTTTTAAGAGAGACATTGGTTTTCACTTGTTTGAATTTCTTTTATTTCCTTATCCAGGCTCCTGAGGTGGCTTCCAAGTGATCTCTGTGGCATTCATGCCCACAGGGCCTGTTACCGGGTTGTCCCTGGGCTCCCTATGGCACCTGGGTAATCGTCTTAATTAAATTAACCTGGTTTAACGCATGGCCTCCTGGGAATACATTCCTCTTTTGGCTTTGTGCAGAGCTGCTCGAGCAGCCCCAGGCTTCGCTGTCCCCCCAGAGTAGGGACGCCTCCGGAGGGACTTGCAGGGTGATCTGATCTCCAGCCACCACCATCCTACTGAGGTGAGTATCCTTCAGACCACGCATCCTCATTGCAAAGGCCATTTTCCAAGCTCCCAGGGGTGGAGTTAAGGGTGCTCCCTCGGGGAACAGCCAACTCCGAGGCAGCCCCAGCCTGCACGAGTGCAAGGACGCGGCGTCGATCTGCAGCCCGCCGAGAAGGTGAATCCAGCATGATATAGCTCTGGTAATGCTGTGGAACAAACCTTTCTGGGAGGGGAAAAAACCCTAGCGATGCTGAAAGGCTGGTGTGTCTCTCCATGCAGCTGCTGGCTGGGGCTGGGGCTGCTGGGGGCCGGGGGCAGACAGAGCTGGCCCCTCGGGCACCCCAGGACTGGGGCTCCGCCGGCTGGTTTCATGTCTGCCTGTGCTTTACCTTGCACATTTTTAAATGGCAATTGAATAACCCCAGGCTGACGTTGGGAGGGGGGAGCACTCCTGCCGTGCGATGCACGGCCCCGTGCTCTGCAGCAGATCAAACAGGCTCAGAAGAGCCCTTCTCATCTTGAAAAGGAGAATTTTGCACTTGAAACCCAGCTTATCCTCTCCATTTGCTGAGTTTTTTCTGCAACCGAGCCCTGAATAATTTAAGTAACATAACATTGGCATTAGGCTTGCAAAGCTGCTGGAGTGTGTGTGAGGGTTGCTACTGCCCAAAGCAGTTACACACAATTACTCCAGGAAGTTGAATGTTACATCTGCTTATTTATTTAGATTAAGGTTTCATGTTTGGTCTGGATTCGGTTTTTTTCCTGAGTTTTGCTGCAGAAGCACCTGCACTATTTGAAATTGATGTGTTGTGCTAATGAATAGGTCCAAATGAAAACATCCAAAACTATACAGTTCAGTCCCAAAGCACTGCTTGGGAGTTCTAAGGGTTTCATGGTGAAGATGAAAACATGCCATGTGCCACAGGGACTTGTCCGAGTCATTTCTCTGCAGCGCAGCCAGCTGGGCATCACTTTCGTAGGCACACAGGAGTCCCCAGAGGAGGGGGATGGCATCCTGCAGACGGGCAGGAGCCCCCATCTCAGGTAGTGTGTCCATTCCACAGCAGGGCATAGCAGAGTGTAGTGCAGAGAGACCCCCAAGGGCTCTGCTGTGCCCTGTCACTTCCAGGGTGGCAACTTTAAACACTTTTGCATTCACCTTAACTTACAGTGGCAGAAATGGTTTGTGGTCTGCTGACCTAGACAGAGAAGAGGGATTACCCTGGGATGATCCTGTGGCAGCTGTAGCCTTTAGACCAAGATGCCCAAGAGGAAGGTG